TATATATATATATATATATATATATATATATATATATATATATATATATATATATACACAATATTATTTAAGATTACTGGTGATTACGATTGCGCCACGGGGCGTGCATTTCTTAAGAGAACCGAGCGTAAACTCACATTGCTATGTAATAATGTACATAGTTTATTTTTGTACGCGCCAAAAGGAAGAAAATTCAGAGTATTATCTATCGATGTATTATTAGACAGTTGTTGTAACGGGCTTAAGATGCGTCGATCGCCGATTTTACGCGAGAAATCGACAAATAAGCCTTTAATGCAATTCTATCTAAGTAGCGAATGTACTTTGAGTTCGCACTTGCACCTCATATGTAGAGCTAAAAAGGTAAGAAAAGCATCAGTGTTGGTCAAGGGGATGCCATACTTGGAAACTTTGAAAATACTGACTATTTTCTGCAAAGTTTCGTATTGGTCGACAGTATTACAAATGTCCTTATACTCTAATATTATAGTCTCAAATATTTTCAATTATTAATCAAATATTTACCTGATACAAAAATTCTCAAACTTGTACATACCGAACGTGTATTCATTCCGTTTAGGAAAATTTGAAGGAGCATTTTTGTATCTTTAATACATCATCTACTTTGACATCCCCTTAAGGAGTAAAGCTACTCTATAATATGGCACATGAGATTTTCTTTAGTAAATCCAACCAAAGGAACGTATCGATACGATATAAGTGTGATATAAAATAAAATTCATTTAACTTTTTTTTTTTTAATAAAACCGACTAAGAGATGTGAGTGCGAGCTAAGAAGAGGAGAAAGAAGAAGAAAAAAAAATGAGGCGTAATAAAAATTGTGTACAAAAGAAGAAAAAATGCGTAAAGGAAACAATGGCAGTTATTTCCTCGCTTCGTAATTTACATACAACGCGTACGGTACAGTAAGTAGCTATATGTAACCGCGAATATTTATGTATATTAGTTTATGTATGTATCTTCGCACACATACGGATACACACACGACACACGTACATGCGCGCGTACATACAAACACATTGACTGAAATACTCATAATCCGTGGGCGTATACTGTCTCTAAAACGTTGTTATAATAAATTCATATTTTTAACGCATCGCGTGTATGTTATCGCTTGTATTTGGCACGACAAGGCAAACAGCCGTTCGACCGGGTTCGACTTTTACCAGGGACAAACCGGCGCGGCCGGGTAAGGCACACGTCCTGGATATGCGTAAGGATCGGCATTTATTGTCCTGCAGATTTGCTTCCAGCGTTCCTTGCCATCACCTCTTCCTTGACGATACTGTCGATACGGATCATTCCCTCTATTATATGACGTTTGCCCAGGAAACCATAAATCAAGCCAGGATGCAGAAAAGACGGAACCGACAAACAGCAACAATAGGAAGATCAGCTTCATCTTAATCGCATGTGTGGGAAATCTTAATCTTCGTCCTCACAACGCGTCCTTACAATCTGCAAAGAAGATTGGTTTCCATCATCGTAAGCATTTCTGCACGTTGTATCGAAATCTAATTGACGATTTTCTTGCAGATTTCCAGATCAAACAGACTAAATGGATATTTTTTAAATCCAGCGACTTTCTCGAATTTGATTTCCATTAGAGTAAAATTTGCTTGAAATTATTTATACTTTTTACTAATTATTTATACTTAAGAAACAAGATTCTCTTATTCACTTGCAATCCTCGGGCTTGATTCGCTCAAACTTCATTTTTATGAAACAATTATTTCTCTTACAATCGAAACGCTGTATCTGATATTTTTTATGCTAAATTCTATTCTATTTTAAAATCTATTCTATGTATTCTAAAATCTATTCTATTTCGTTCTTTTTCATAGGATCTTTGGTAGTGTCAGGTGGACTCTATATATAATTGAAGAAGGAAAATTCGGGTTAATCGACGCTCCGTTAATTCTCCGTGTCACGGCGTGTAACGGCGCTCTAAAATAGACAAAACAGCGACAACGTGTTCACGCACCAAAAGACCATATAATGAATACGTCGTTGCGTCACGGTTGCGCGACTTTCAAATTTCACACTTTCTGAGCCGTAGGACCGCCGCCGCTACCGACGACAATGTGAAGACGTTTTTCTTCTTCTTAAACGGTTCCAACGTCGTCTCACCGATATCTCACAACTAGGCGACGCAAAAAAAAATGATTGAAATCGCGCACAATCTCACTCTGCGAGATCACACTCGGACAAAAGCGCGTCTGCCGCCTAATCGCGGGCAACTGTAGCAAGCATTGTAACAAGTACACCAGCGTAGTGGACAGATGCTGGATGCTTACTGCTGTTTTATATACCGTCAGCCGCCCTACCGCTCAGAAAAATGCGTGCTTCGTGAATCGGCATCGCCTTTTGACGAGGAATCACCGCGCACTGAACGCGCGTGTCTTTTAGATCGGTTATGGCGAGAATATGCAACAGTCTTCCGAGTGACTGTTGATCATACATCACATGTAAGTACTCGCCTCGCAGGAACAGTCTATGAATAAATGTGATCTGATCGTTCTAGACCTGTGTAACTTTGCACCATAGAAGTAAACGAGATTTCATTTTACAGGATTAATTCTCGATTGCTTAACATCGATCTTTTGTTTTAATAGATCCTTGATTTTTCAAATCTCTACCTAAGATCTTGTATCTTATCTTGTTCCTGACCGTTGAAGCCAATCCTGAGAATCCTGTCATCGATCCTGGATTCAGAATACTGTTATGAATGACCCATATCCTTACGGAAAAAAACTACAAGAATTCGAAAAAACTACTGACATGCTATTGAAAAATTGTTCTTCAATAGTAATTTTTTCGTATTTCTAGTTAAAATAGTTCTTCAATAGTTCAATAGTTTTCTAGTTTAAATTGTTTTTCAATAGTTTTTTTCCGTAAGGATATAACTAATATCGCATTGCATATATTCAATCTTTAATTTTTTGTGAATTTATGCATCGTCTGATAGATCCTTTGCTTAACATTTTCGATATATATTGCCTTGGCGAAACAGTCTTCAAATAAGTACGCTCCAATCGCTGGATTTGAAACTTTGCATCACAGAAATAGACGAGATCTGTTTTTACAGATTCAATCCTCGCTTATTTAACGTCGATTCTCTGTTTGTCTAGATTCTTGATTTTCCACGTCCACTTGGATCCTCGATCCAGAATCTTATATCCTAGACTGCGGAGTCTTTGAAGCCAAGTACTTGCAATTCTGAATCCTATATCATCGATCCTGAATTCAGAATCCGGTTGACATATGACCTATACAATTAATATTGTATACATAGCGCATATTTAATCTTTAATTCCCGCGAATTTTTACGTCGTCTGACAAAGAACCTCTGTTCAGATTTGTCATATCCAGCGAGTTCCGCCTTGCGCAGTTATTTCCACAATTTGAGATTCCGCGCTGTGCCGGCACGATCTGACGCACGAATTTGCGGAATCGCGTTTTTGAACCTGGGGAAGGCCCTTTTCCATTGTCTCGGTCGAGGTACATCGATTCATATGCAACATTCGTCGCGAGCGCTTATCCGCTTCACTCGAGTATTCCGCTCACACAAGAATATCGTTCGCGAGCGTCTGCGTATATGATGCTGATTCCAGTGTAATTACTCACTTGCTCGACACGCCGCTGCATCTCATGGTAATGACATTTTCACATAACTCTTGGTTGGCACAGGAAAAAGAAAAAGTGAAAAAAGAACAAAAACAAGGTGGAAAGGAAATTACGCTCTACATAAAAGCAATCCCTAGGAAGCAGACCGCGGACTGATATTGCATATGGTTCTTCGATAAGCAGCCAATGTTTAATTCATAAATCGCACTTTCGGCCGCGTTTGCATACATATTCGCGAGTACCGGGTCTGCCCGGTGAAATAATAATTTTGCATACATCGCCGCGCCGTGGATTTGCCCTGGGCGTACGTGCATTCGATCGTGAAGCACAGCCGGGGGAATTTCGCGCGTTTCCTCGAGAAGCGATTGCGAAAAAGATCGCGTGATCCGCGCAATTCGATCCGCGACGTGCAATTTCCAACGCGTCATCCGCTTCTTCCGCGCCGGCGAGCTCGATTGGAAGTTGCTCCGAATTTCATGTCAAGGACGTCTCTTGGCGCTGATACCGAAGACAAGCGAAAGAGATTATCCTATCCGCGCAAACTTGACACACTTCTCGCGCAGCGAGTCGCGAATTCGATCGAAACAACACGCGACACGAGCTTACCCTTTGACCCGTTGTCCCTGATACGCCTTTTCCTTTTTAGAAAAGTCTTTTGGATGGGATGCGAAATCAGTACTGGAATCTACCCAAATAGCACAGAAAATTCAAAAAGAATTCAATCGTATATCACCAATTCTGAGTTTATTTTTAGATGCAAAAAGAATTCTTTTCACTGAACTGAACTTTGAAGAATTTTTTTTTGCATCTGAAAATGAACTGAATTTGATCTGAATTTGGAATTGATGACCTACCACTGAATTCTTTTTGAGTTCTCTGTGCTATCTGGGTATATATCGCTTCTGTACCGTCTACTTTTATCGTTGGTGGAACTCCAATGAAGAATTAGATTAACAGGAATTTGAGGAAAGCAGTAGTTAATCACGTTATCTTAATTTGTCACAGTAACCATTTGGATATATTTTGGAAGTATATATTTTATTTATGTGTGTAATATATAATATATAAATTATATTTATATATTTTTATTATAAAAATGTAAGAAAGTCAGTCAATTAATATTAATCTATATCGATACATCTAGTCCTCAGCGAAGTTTTGTTACTGATAACTGTTCTCTTTCTTTTTTTAGGTGCTATCTTATACAGAGTATTTCCCGATTTCATTCACATATTGTACACTATTTTGTGTGAAATACCGATCGCAAGATACGAAATAATTAGTTTTTAATCACATAGTAACTGGGTGAATAAATGTGTGAATAAATAAGAGCTCGAGTGTCGCCGCAGGAGTAGTCATTGAGAGGTAATAAGCTCGATTATCGAACTGTGACTCGTGATCATAAACAAGGTCGGTCACTTGGCGCGATTGCATAGAATCGTTCTTACACTTGACGTATTATGAATTCTTCCATAAACGGCAAGTCGTCGGACCGCGATAGGGCCGGTTAAGTCGCAGCTAGATTTGTTCTACGATTTCCTATTATCGTAATAGTCGGTTTCCAATCCACCTAACTATTAATAGCATTCGGCAGAGAAAGTCCACCCTGCGGTTTTGCACAAAGAAGCTCGTAATACGCGCGAGCGATTTTTCACGCTCAGTCTGCTCTTCGAAATTCAGTCGCAGTCCAAACTGTTATAATCATCGACAATCCCCGAATTTGCAGGACTTTGAAATTTTATCCTGTATTTTTCCCATCTCACTCTCATTGTATTGTTTCACAGGAACCTTCAGAGAGAAGCGCGTCATCCAATTTCTATTCTTTCGACTCCGGAAAATAAAAGATAAGATAAAGATTTTAAAAAATTAATCAAAGGATGAGGGATATTTTGGAAAGTTAAACTAAAAATGTGATACATTTTGCAAAGTTAATTCAAGAATGAGATACATTTTGTAATCCAAAAATAAAATACATCTTGATAAGTCAATCCAAAAGAGATACATTTTAAATCTGCCAATTTAAAAATTAGAGAAAATCCTAATGCAAATTTGGTAAGACTTTTCTGCCTCCATTGGAGATTCTCTCTCTCTCTCTCAAAGATTTTAGTATAGAGTAAATACAAAAATTGCTTCGATGGGAGATTTATGAGCTTGAAAAAATACCTTTAAAAATGAACCGGCAAACCTTATCTGATGCACTTAAGATTGTTGCTGTGAATATGTTCAAACATCGCTTCTCATTGAGACCTACAGACGTGCCGCGGTAAATCTAAATATTTTGGCTACTGCAGACTTCATCAAAACTCTTCCGTGCAGCCGGCTGCACCACGTGCGTCAGTTCCGCTCTGCTCTACTTGCAGAAGCGTCGTTCGCTCGTTCAGTCTGTCCTCGTGTTTCTCGAAACGTCTTCGAATGTCAAATCGCAGTAGTTCTGACGATAAAAGCAGCTGCGAGTCTTTTCACCGACCCAGCCTCTCGATTAAGATGCAGCGGAGCCTGAGAAAAATGAAGGAGAACCTCCAAAGAATTACTGGTATGTCGCGATATACGATGCGATTGGTTCTACCGTCTTAACTTTTGTTTTTCTTCTTTCATCGACTAATTGAGTTACGGAGATTGAAGTAGAAAATCAAATATGTCTAGCTAATTTTCTCAATAATCATTTATCTGTAATAAGATCTTCGTAATCATCATATGTAAAAATCTTTCTACAAACTTTTTTTGTATTTTTGAGTCTCTAAATTCAGTAAAGGCACAGCAACGTTCTTTGAAAATTTTCTGAACGGAATAAACATACATTCAGTATACAAGTTACAGAACTTTTGTAAAATTCTCTGAGATAAAATTTAAAATTAATAAAACCACATCGCTACATAACTAAACGATAAAGAAAACAAGAGTGAACCAGTGGATTATCACATAAGAATGTTTCCATAATTTGCGACTACGTCAGAACAAGTCGATCACCTTTCCATAGATAGTTTTCCAGAGGACGATAAGCAATCGCTGTATTATTTCCCGGAGGAGCTGTCCACCCTGACCTGGCGCACCGGCTTCTCCAAGGATGAAATTCGCAGGCTGTACCGTGCTTTCAAACAGTTCTGTCCTCGAGGATGCGCGACGACTGGCGACCTTAAGCTCGCGTATGCCAAATTGTTCCCACTGGGTGATCCAACCAGATACACGCGAATCGTTCTTCATAGCTTCGACAAGGACGGCGACGGCTTCGTCAGTTTTGGCGATCTTCTAGAAGGCACAGCGTTGATCATGAACGGCAGCGTGGACCAAAAGCTTTCTTGGATATTCGGGTGAGCGTTAATCACTGCCAATAGCAGAGATCCCGATTCGAATTTTAAAGTTGATTTTTGGGCAAAATCTGACGAGGAGTTTTTCTTAAGTCAGTTAAAAGGTTCGATTCGATTTTTTGTCTCTTTCGAAGGCAAACCGGCTATTTTCTATATGGAGAGAATATTCCCTGCTTTAAAAATTCAACAGGAATTGGCAGAGAGAGAGAGAGAGAGAGAGAGAGAAGGGGGAGGGGGAGAAAGAAATATATAAATTTCATTCAAAAACTATGACTTTATCATTCCTATTGGAAACTTCAATTTCTGACATTTCAGTTTATATAAAAAAGTTATCAATTTCTCTGATTGTAACTTATTTTCAACAATTTTAAATATTATAATAAACGATTTTCAATATTACACTAAATGATTCAACATTTATCTAAATTTAATACATATGTCATCAAAATCAATTGTTATTAGTATCCAATTATTTATTAATCAATTGTTGTCTATAAGATCCCGTCAACATTCTAGTAGTATTTTTAAACCTCTATTGAAATCGATGCTCTCGAAACGAGACGAATGTAACACGCGTGAAATATTCTCCGGACCTACTTTTCCATCAGATTCTACGATCTGGATGGAGACGGTTGCATCACGAGGCGGGAGATGTTGGCCATAATAACTGCGACTTACGAGATGGTGCAGGACGTACAGACGAACCAGCCCGCGATTAAGATCCAAGTAGATAGGTTCTTCGAGAAGATGGATGCTGACAGGGACGGCATAGTCACTAGGGAGGAGTTCATGAGCGGTTGTAAGAATGTACGGCCAACTAGTTCAACGTCCCGCGATGTGTAATTGCTCGTCTTAGTGATAGTGAGCGGCAGAAACGTGCGTGCGTTTTGAAATCTCATAAATATTCTATTTTCTTACAGGATACCATTATATACAACCAGTTGAGTTTATTTAATAAGATTTGGTGACGGAATGAAAACGCTTTTAAGAGATTAACGGGCAAGCTTATCCACACACGCATAAAGTCATTAAAATACTTATAAAAATCCCCACCCGGTTTCCTTTTAAACATATATGTATATTCCCTACGCGACTTATTATGAGAATTCCTGCGCTATATATATTACAGTCATCACGTGATATCACCGTAAACGCCTGATCCATGCACTTCGTCAACGTTGCGCAGGGCCTCAGAACAGTCTCTTTTGTAAAATATAAAACACACAGGCGAGGAAAAACATAAAGGCCAGCGCGAGCAACGCTTTATCGGTGACTTCGCGCCTACCGTACTTTCCCAAAAGCTTCCCCGACTGCACTATCACTTGCTGCTGATGCTCCAACTCGTTTCTGGTGTTGTCAACCTTGTCTGAGGATGTCACTAAAACAACAGCAGAATTAGTAGAACTATGAACCTTCTCTTAACCCTGGAACACCATATTTCAGTGTATCACATCTATGCTATTGTTGAAACACCATTTCTATATAATGAATGGAAGGAATCGGATTTGGAAAGTATAAAAACATCTCTTTACAACTGTTCATGCTACGCCTGTTATTTAACAGATATAGGAGACTTTGGGTGCGTTCAGCAAACTCAACAGTTGAACAATTCGTCAATGTAATTGGTCTAAAGTTAGAGATCTAACAGTAAGGACCAATAATCACTGACCGCTTACTGATCAGCTATGTTTTCTGAACACAGCCATTGTTGAGCCAATTTTAACGTTAAAATTTTTTATACCAAAACATATTTACTTTAAATAGTTTTTTTGTCCATATTTTTTTTAATATTACATTTTTCACAAATGGCAATTGGTTTTATATAACACAGTTATAAGAAAACTATAAATTTTTAGTAAATAGCTTTTTTGTGATAAGAAAATTTCTATTCGGCTTTTTTGTAAAATTATCTTCTTTTTATAAAACCTCAATTGCATAATTAATGATATAGGTATATTTCTGATATTTTGGTTCTCAAATAAAAAAATATGTCAACTAATATCCACCTTTTGAGGAAATAATAATAGTTGAAAGTGACTGAGCGCATTATATTAATATGATGAAATCAAGTCTTGAAAGAAGTATGGTATTCTAGAGTTAACAATATTCTTATCCTTATACAATATACAGAGAGAATCTATAGGCCTGTTCTTTGTAGCTGCTCTGCTGAACTAGTGCAATAAATTGAAGTGAGACAAATTCTCACTCTTTTTGCACTTAGTTCAGCAGTACAGCTACAAAGAACAGTCCTTATAATTAGTGCTATCTTGAATATTATTGAAATATGAGTAAGAGAAAAATTTATCTATAATAGAAATTACATTTTGTACAAAAACCTGTGTAGCACTACGAGAAAATAATCCAATAACACAAAATACATACACAGCGTGTCCAGTGTATCAGCACTTCTCTGAGTTGTTTCAGCTAGATGCCTCGCGATGCTGAACAGTTTATCCGTGATCTGGCTGGACGCATCCGTCAAGCTTTGCTTGTCCCGTCGTTTGCGAAGGACATTCTGCCGCTCCTCCGGCAGGGAGAGCAGATTCTCTCTGGCCAATTTGTCGATGACACACGCACTAATGACATTGGCCTTGCGAAAGGCCGCCAAGGATACGCTCAATTGTTCCTTGTAGCTCTCGACGACGGACAATAATTCAGTCTTTTTCTTCTCGTTTGGTTCGGTCTCGGCGACAGACGACAATCGCTCTATAGAGGATTCCAACACCGCTATCTTGGTCCTACCTTCGGCATTGAGCTCGTCTAATACTTCCAACGGCCCGGTGCATTGTTGTATGTCCTTCGCGGGGAACACATGATGATTTACTGATCAGCTCATCGGAATATAACTCGTAACGTATGACTTATAATTGTAAACGTGATGGTTTTGCGATATATTAGCTCGAAGTTGAGGTTATGTTCCGTATATGCCTCAGTGAGACATACTTATATATACATATATATATATTTACTTGTATTAAAGCGTTCACTTGGAGATGGTTCTTAACAATATCCTGACGTATCAATTCCACCGTATAATTCTCGGGATCCATTTACACGTAAATTATTTGCGCTACGTGTCACATACGGTCACTCTTCTCTATGTATACGTATGCTACGTGAACAACAAAACTCTGATCAGCTGATCGTAGCAGCAGACTTCGCGCGGTTGTCAATGAACCGCTGGCTGCCGAATAGGTTTGTGCCTTTTCACTGAACTTCCTGTACTGGTGTAAGAGAGATGTGTGCTACAGTGCTTGCGTTTGATATTCACTATTTTACTGGAGATCTATAGTATACGTTAGATCGTTTCACATTAGGCCCGATCTACAATAGATGGAGTAAGAAATAGGGATAGGAGTAAGAAATAAGCAGTAAGCAAATTGACCAATTCCATTCTCACGTTTCAAAAATAATCGATTGTGATTGGTCTGTTTACATACTACTTATTTCTTACTCCTACTCCTACTCCTTACTCCATCTATTGTAGATCTAGCCTTAAGGGACGTCTACATTGGAAGTAAGCAGTAAGAACTAGGAAGTAAGAATAAGAAATTGACCAATCATAGTTGATTATTCTTCTCACATTCGACTGTGGTTGGTCAATTTCTTATTCTTACTTCCTAGTTCTTACTGCTTACTTCCAATGTAGACGTCCCTTAAGGCCTTCACACACACTTTCCGTAACAGTAACCATAAGACGTAACGTAAGAATTGACCAATCGTCGTTGAGAATCGTCGAAACATAAGGTCGCCATTTTGTAAATACTCCATCGTAATTGGTCAATTCTTACGTTACGTTTTAAGCGTCTTCTACAATGGCAGTAGGAGAGTAGTAAGAATAAGCAGTAAGCAAATTGACCAATTCCATTCTCACGTTTCAAAAATAATCGATTGTGATTAGTCTATTTACTTACTGCTTATTTCTTACTACTACTCCTACTGCCATTATAGAAGACGCTTTACGATTACTGTTACGGAAAGTGTGTGTGAAGGCCTTTAACATAAACTATTTTTAGCACTTGCAGTGAACATCGGAACGCAGCTAGCGTTCATCTTAGCAAAAATAATGTCAATTGATGTTACAGTAGTTAATTATACTCCGTATCAAGGTTGGAAATATCAATTAATTTCTTTTCAATTTAAAAATTAATTTAGTTAAATATGTTTCGACCGACGAAGGGTTTTTGATTGAATGTGTTGAAATCAATTGTCAATTAAATGACTTTCAATTAAATTTACTCATATAGCAAATATTAAACATTATAATTAATTAAAAAAGTAATTAATTATTTACAACCCTGCTCCGTATTAGAGGCTAACAATATATAAAAATTTTCGATTTAGAGATTAAGAATGTAATTTACATATTATCTAAAGATACATACCAAAAGTGATGGAAAAAAAAAAGAAAAAGAAATTGTTAAATTTTTTTAATTCAGACATAAATACATAGATTTTTAATGTTGAAACATAATAGCAAAAAAATATTTGATTTCATTAAATTATAAATAAAGGTTGTTATTATATAGACAGGCAATAACTATTGCCATCTTAAATATCTCTTTTGTTTCACACAATAGGAAAATAATGTCTGTGAAAGTTTTATAGTTTCAAAGAAGACATAACATAGTAAAGATGATTCTTTTTTGGAGACATTGAAAGAAATTTCAATGTTACCTTAGATTTTTTTAAATTAAATTGTGATATTAATTTTTATTATTCATACTGATGCATTAATGTATATGAATCTGTAAAATGTAATGCAATTTTAGATTTTTTTTACAGCAATCGATTTCACCATTATTTTACCTACAAAAATATTAAGCTGAAATACTATTGAAAAATAAATATTTCATATACTCAAAAGTCTAAAGTCAATATAAAATAAAACAGATCTGAGAAAATATTCATTTTCTAATAATTAATGCTCCAATATTTTTATATATGAATAATCAGAGAAATCGATTTGTGTTAGAAAAATCATATTCAATATAGCAATGATTTTATTTAAAAATATCTTTGAAATTTCCTACTTTCACACACTCACAAGAATCACCGTCTCGAAAATCATAAAATTTTTGTAGATATTATTTTCTTATATTGTTTGAAGTGACGGATATTGAAGATGGTAAGTTACTACTTCACTCTATGCAGACATGTCTCAATCAGAACAATGGAACTTAATTGCAATTTTTAACGGTGTGCACGAGGTAGCGTAATTTATTATATATACATGTATATTCGCGCACAGGACTGTGCGTATCATGTACTATTAAACTAATCACGCACTCCGGCGTCACATCGCGATCAAACGACAGTGATATTTTCTTCTCTTTGTTTACAGGGCGTATAATGCGTCATCGTCGTAAAAGAGGAGATTATAATAAATTCCTAAGATTACACGATTTTACAAACTTACAACGTTCAATACTCTATAACGGGTGTAGCACTACGAGAAAATTCGTCGATGTCACTTCAAGTATTCGAATAAACGGTGTCGGGATGACTTCAGATCAAGGATCGCGTCCTCCAATGTTGCATGATAAGATATCTTATCGTTAACGCAGGCTATTTATGACAGCGGCGGTGAATTCCGTCGTCGAACTTTGCCCGCCTAGATCCTTTGTGAGTACTTTTCCGTCATTCAGCACACGGTTCAACGCCTCCCGGATTTGTTCGCCGTAACGTTTAAGATTCACATGATTCAACAACTTCACGGCGCACAAAAACATCGCCGTTGGATTCGCGACATTCTTACCCACCGCCTCGGAGTACGTGTGCCTTGCGCCCTATTAAAGGACAGATTTTAATAGCGTTGCTATTGTTACGTGTTAGAATAAAGTTTACATAGGTGCTAAAGATGCACTTATGTAGGTGCATAGATGGTAAAGGTTACATAGTAAGTACATGTATACAATCATGCTGAGCTCTTTGCAAAAGCAAAGTCACGCGAAGTTGACTTATGTTATTAGATATAAAGTATTTATTGTCAAATGTCTCACCGGTTCGAAAACGACACATTCGGCGCTGTAACTAGCACCTGCGACAACTCCCGCCCCGCCAACCAAGCCGGATGCGAGATTATCCACAATATTGCCATACAAGTTTGGCATTACCATGACGTCGAACTGGTGCGGATTAGAGACCATCTGCATAGTGCAATTGTCGACGATCATTGTTTCAAACGTAATCCTGTTGTCGAAAACAAAATATATGTGAGAATATGAAAAGGATATTTTGAAATAATTTTTATAACACATATCGATAGTTTTCAAATAATGAGGATACTACTTAAATACCTAGGATACATTTTGGCAATCTCTTGGCACGACTTAAGGAAAAGTCCGTCACCGAGTTTCATTATATTAGCTTTGTGAACACACGTAACTTTCTTGCGATTATTCTTCACCGCATAGTCGAAGGCGAATTTCGCGATTCTTTGGCTCTTAGTAGCAGTTACAATTTTCAGGCACTCTACCACCCCCTTGACAGATTCGTGCTCCAATGCGGAATACTCCCCTTCCGTTTGTTCTCTGATGATTACACAGTCTACATTTTGATGACGCGACCTGATACCTGGCAAAGACTTAACATGTACCACATTCGAATATAGATCCAGGCTTTTGCGCAATTTCATGTTCAGAGTTTGCAATTCTCCTGTATGGGAATGATCGGGTGTAGCTAAGATACCCTGTCATAGAGAAAAAAAAAATATATATATATATATATTAAATGCTATAAAATATATTACTTCTAACTAAAAATTCTTTAAGCAGTAGTTTTTGATTTCTTTTAGTTAGAAATCTACACACATTTAATTTTTAGTTTTATATAATTTGATTTTATACAATTATGATATTATCTAAATTAAAAGATTAATTTATTCTATTAAAAAAGAAATAAATTTTCTTTGTTTTTTGGAAGATTTCTAAGAAAGAATACAATAAAGTATTAACCCTTATAAATAATTGCAACTGTTCAAAAGAGAAACTTGAAAACTAATATTACTTCAATGGTTCCTGATTGTATGCCAAAAATTAATGTTTCACTGTTTTACTACCTGCAGATATTAAAACAAATTGTTCCATATATTGTTATATAATTAAATCACAATAATCTAATTTCTACCAGTAATCTAACCTTTAAACAAACTCGATTCCTAGCAATACTATTGGAGACTTGATCCAAAGGAGCACTGAGAGTTGGATTTACTTCAGATAGAAAATAAGGCTCAAAATCAACTGGGACATCTGCAGCTTTGAATACATTCTGAACTGCAACCACCAGCTCTGGTCCAACACCATCTCCTGGTATCAAGGTACATTTTAACTTTCCTTCTTGCTCAACTGTCTGGAAAAGATAGTTATCATGTATGTATAACAATCAATTAGAAAATAGCAATACTTACCGATTCTTGTTGTCGTACTGCTCCCACATACAGGGTCCTAGCTGTGCTCTTTTGAGTAGCCTGCAAACACAAATATATATAGTATATTGAACTGTGGAAACATATCTTTTCTGGAATTTCAAACCTTTTAAATGTGGTTCTCTTAACTAATGTTAATATCACCAATAGTGTTGAGTAATATCAGTCCTACTTTGCCTGACTTATATACATATGCATATAAACCCCATTTGTCATACTTTTCATCAACAATCACAGATCCTTCTTGCGTAACACGTAGTTAAATTTTTTTGGCGAATAATAAGATTGCCCTGATTAAATAACGCAATAAACTCTCGCAATCACCCCGATTGATGTATCGATTCGTACATGAACGATTGCAAATCCGTGATACATTAAAACAAGTGTTTCCGACGCAATACAGTCGGAAATGCGCATAAATTTCGGGTAAAAATACTCTAATATGCGAGCCCATTACATCTTCGCTTCGTTACCACATGCCGAAAAGTGTTGAAAATATTTATTCGCAGAGGTCATGTGAGGTTATCAACGATGGTTTTTTGTCCATTTTGCACATATCCGTGAAAAGTGGCAAAATTTCGAAATCACGAAGGAACCTGAGTCTATATTACCTGAGAAAGTGTTTTGCAGATATTTCTCGCGAATAAAGCCATTTTGCATGAGAATAGTGTGATTATTGGTGGTTATCTCATTCGCACTTGCGCAGCAGGAGTGCGATCACCAGTACGACCCGCGAATTCTATACTGTCCTAAAGCGTGATGCTTTGCATCCGGGCACAATTTAATCAAAGAGAATTAGACAGAGTGGAAACTCTCATAAGAACAATATGGCCCATATTCTGAAACCTCTTTTATCAATAAAAGCCTTAAATATAACTTCTGAGCTTATTAGGTGGCTCCTAAGCCTCTTTTAGAGACTCATTTATCGTTAAAAGAGAACTTAGAATACGGGCCTATGTATTTTCGGCTATACGAATTTCAATATAATAATTTCAATATAATAACATCACATTTATACATATATATTCATATCTAAATCCGGCACCAAAACATATTTTACACTGTTACTGCTATTTTATAGTAGACCATAGATTTGTTTTTGTATTTTGGAACTGCCTAAACAAATATATTTTATTTTTAAAAGAAATCATGAATATCTTAAAAAATCATGAAAATATAATTATTATCATTACTTGTATGCATGTGCACATTATTTTTTACCATAGAATTCATTCTCTTGTATGTATATATAGTTACCATACATTTATTTTGCTTCATTTTATTTATTTTGCTTTAAATTATCGATTTCTTTCATATATTTCAATAAGTTTTAAATCATAAAAAGCTACCTTTTGAAGTTTAAAAACATTTACTAAAGATTATCGACCGATTTTGGCGTAAAGCGAGTACATAATTAGACATCAGTCTATAGATGGCAGTGTTGCCATGACTTTTGATTGGTGCATTTCCATTCATCTTCAGAAATGCACCAATTAGAGCAGAGTATTTCCATCCAGTAAGTAACCAGTACAAAAATAAATATTGTGTGCCGCTGGCTTTAGAGTTTCTACTCTATCTAATTTTCTTTACTTTAAGGAGAAGTTTGCCTTTACACGTGCCAGCACATGTTTATGAATACTCAAGTTTGCTTAAAACAGGTAAGAGAAATTTTAATTACACCAAAAATATATTCGAGATATTATGTAATATTTTTATTAATAAATTTTTTTATTAATAAATATCTGTATTTTTAGTACCTGTAAAAATGACTAGGTATGCAAGAGCAAAAGGATCCAAAGCATCAAATGAAAGAATGCCAAATGAGGCTACACCATGGCACTTAATGAAACAGCAATTAGAAGAGGATAAAACTAAAAAAAATGTAGAACATAAAAAGTCAGCAAAAGAGTTATTAACGGACCGACAAAACAGCGATGCAATTAAAACCAGCAATTGGGCAGAGTTTGATCACAATAAGTTTGAGAATTTAAAGTCAAAGCATCGCACAAAGCTCACCGAAAGTTCTATAAATAATGAAACCACTCATAATGTTACAGTTAAAAGTAATAATGTAGGGAAATTAGAAAAGACGAAAAGTAGAAAAATTGAAAGGACAGATAAAAAGAATAATAAATTTTCTAACAAGAAACACAATATTAATGATACAGACACGCATTCAGAATCTGATAAGAAAGAGTCAAATACTTCACAAAATAACAAAAGTTTAAATTTTCTTGTATTGAGCAAACGACAGAAACGAAATTTAAAGAGGAAATTGGAAAAATCTAATGAAAATTCTCAAAGCAAAGTAAAAGAAAAGAAAATTAAAAATAATGGTGAATACAAAAGAAAAAAACCAGATACTGGTGCCGAAACAATTATAATTAATGGTGTGGAAACTAAAATTGTCAAATATGATGGATTTCCCGTTAAAAAGGAAGATGCAGAAAGGTTAGCAAAACTCAAACAAGAGTTGTTAATGAAGGGTAAGTATAAAATTTTATGTATGCAATAATAACATTTTAACTTTAAATTTTAAGAATTGACAGAAATGTGAAAAAACAAAAGAAAAATATATATGTCAGGGAATTCACAGAACTTGGAGAAAACTAAAAGTTCTATTTTGAGAATCTAAATAGAATCTTGGAAACTATGAAGAGTTAACGTTAATCTTTTATTAACAATAGAAAAATAACATTGATATGAAAAAAATACAATAATTAATATATATTATACAGGTATACCACAATCTGAAGTAGATATTGCAATGAAGCTAGAGAGACGCAAAGCTGAGAGAGCCCTGGCACGTGCTAAGAAATTTCTCTGCTTTAATTGTCGCAAGTCTGGACATGTCTTATCGGATTGTCCTGAGCTCGGCGGAAAGGAAGAAGTAGGAACAGGGATTTGCTTCAAATGTGGCTCAACGGAACACACTCATTTTGGATGTAAAGTGAATAAGGATTCCACTTATAGATACGCCAAATGTTTTATTTGTCATGAGCAGGGACACATTTCCTCGCAATGTCCCGACAACCCGAAAGGAATCTATCCTAATGGTGGTTGTTGCAAAATTTGTGGTGCTGTAACACACTTGAAGAAAGATTGTCCTGACTTGATAAAGACTAAAGATGATAATACTATTACAATAGAGAAAATAGATGATTTTGCTGTGGAATCCTTGTAAAAAGATATTAATAAATACAGTGGGAATAAGAAGACTTGAAAATAAAATTATATAGCTTTAGGATATAATGTGTAATATATATGTTGTTAAAAAAATGTAATTTTTACTTCTTTTTTTTAAACATGTAATTTGAAAAAAAGGGAATCAAAGAATTTGTCGGCATAGTACTTACAAAAATAGATTAAAAGGTCTAAGCTAAAAGTTAAACAGTTGGAAGAACAAGATAAATTTTATGGACTTATGTTTAGAAGTTTTCATGTTTATATTTGTAAGTGTTGTATGTCCACAAAATCTTTTACTTATTTCCTATCAGATAATTTCTCAATTACTGGAAGAAATATATTATTTAATTTTATTTTTCATTACATGCGTTTTTGATCATTATTATCATTTTACAGATGATAAAGTCCAAGATTTCTTATTTTTAAGGCAAATTCGGAACAGACATGTAATAATTATCTGTGTAAATATATAAAATCTAGTAGTTGTAAATAATAATAAATTGTAAATATATTATTTATTAACATGATATTACAGTGTACAATTTTTTATATACTGTATTTTATTATAAACAAAATTTGAAATTTATTCAAGTATCTCTTGGATCCTTAACTGTTTAAGTTCTATGTGTTGTTAACATCTTATTTTCCTACATTGCGAGAAATATTAAAAATGATATAACAAGAATACATATTAATAATTTATTTTCATTTGTTTATTTCTCGAAATGTGATTATACATTTAAAGTTTTTCAAGTAATATCTATTATTAAAAATCTATCGATATTTAATATTACTTACTCTAACCCTCGAAATACCAAAATGTTTATCTTTATTGTATACGTTATCAAGCAGAGCACTTTATATCTGTATTTTATACAGCATGAAAGTTACTTGTGTTAATTATCATTTTACAATTTATTTCTGCTATTCTTACTTACATTTACAAATATATATTCAATGAATATATGTGCAAAACATGTGAAATAAAATTTAATTATATGAGCAACAATAGTTAAAAACTACCATATATTATTTACTTTTGTTTAATTTGATATTTCCAGGGTTAACACCATGTGTGTTATCTATTAGATTCATAGATACTAATTGCAACGACTTCTTAAAGTCGAGTGTACAAATCGCAATGCACTAATATCTTTCTTGCAAAGTTGAAAGTTGAATACAAGAGAGAAAAGAATAAATTGAGGGGATGATTATATCAGGTGATAATCAGATAACTGAATTATTCTTAAAGCAAAATTCAAGTAAAAGTATTTGCTGCAAAACGGCAAAATCGCTAGAAAGAACATTACAAACCTGAATGTACACTAAAATCGTATAATGTAAATACATACATCTTCGTATAAATTGTAGCTGCATCTTTGATCTCGTAATTATATTTTAAGTAAAAAAAAATACATATGTATAATATATCCCAGGCAAATTGGAATTTTTTTCTTGATTAGAGTTCTTATTAAGAATTTTGTTTGCGATCAATTATTTAAGTTGCATGCCATCGAAAACTAAAGACATAGTGTAATTCAGTTTTCATTTTTGTTATCAATTGATAACAAAATTATATTATTATATCCTCGTGTAATTACACGTTATACTTTATAAAGTTTATTTGACGTTTAATGTTATTAAAACAATTTATAACGAAATAATTTGTGAAAAAAATGTTGACTAATATTTTTCTACGAATGCATCAGATCCAAATGCGCAAATATTTTACATATAAGCACAGAATGTCCTACGCAACATCATTTTCTAGATTGTATATATATATATATATATATATATATATATACATACATACATACACATATATACATATATATATATAGAAATAATTATTATATATATAATTATTTGGTTTTTACTATCTAATATATATTATTTTGTAAATATAGTAAATTTCTATAAATTATATATGAAAACGAGTTTGCAATCGAAATCTGTGAAGTAAATTCACAGAAATGTAACATATGAATTCGCTTCTTCAGACATGTAACGTTTCTAATATCGCGCAAGATATGAAGTGATGATTACGTAGTTCAACTATTAGGCGAAGACGCTTTTGACGTTTTATAATTTCTTTTTGTTATGATTTATTATGTTTTAATAACATATATCTAAGAAGATAATTAGTTGTAATTATTTGAATATTATCAAGATCAAAAAAATTAATTTTTCGTCAGCAATAAGAAAATGGTCGTTCTCTCACTCTTTTTACATCAAAGTAATATTATTTCTGTCCTATATTAGAAATTGTGAAGAATAAACAAATTTGCCCGCCTAGACTATGTTCTCTAAAATTATTTGTCACTAGGAAACACAAGTCCACGCAGAATTATTCAATTCCTCTTTAATCTCCTTAGTACTAAATCATTTTGTTCTTTCTTAGACAAAGACCCTCGAATATACCTAAGAAGGAAACTCAGCATGAGCTGTAATATGGTTATTTAGATACCACAACCAATCACAACTACAAACCGTTGTTAGTACATAGGAGCTTAAAAAACGCTTAAAGGATAATTTAGCGAGTTAAAAGGATATCTGGGATTTTCTTGCATCCCGCGATCTTGTCTTTGGTACGCAACTCATTATGCTATTTTTTTTATTTCTACCCAATTTCCATAAAGACATGTTAATGAGTAGTGAAAAACGAAAATTAAAATAAAAAGCCCACAAGTGCACCTGCTAGGTAGCTTCAGCTTTATGCGCTGACTCGTTAATTTCCTTCAAGCATCGACCAAATTCTTCAATAATGAGTCGCTGGGATGTCTCGTCGTCAAACATATTACGTTCTGCCTCGTCTGCTTGTGCCATTAAACATTGACACGTTATTTCCACCACTTTGTCCGTCAAGAAATTAAATGGCTGCCTGTAATAAATGAAAAATAGATATAACACAAAGAACCAAAGAAGTTGGAATACAATCGGTAAAAGTAATGAGATTAATCGAAATCATCAAAGACCTGGTGCCAGAGTTAGATGCTGCCGGTGGTCTAAATGCCATCTCCGACAATTGTAGCTGCGCTTTATTTAAACTAAGTTGAGTCGTCCTGACTTCGGTTGTATCTGTTAGATCTTTCAACCCCTTTTTTTCCAATATTGTATCTTCAATATTACGACAACCTATACACTTGCAGTTTGCAGAACATGGGATCTTAGCCTGGAAAAGATGAATTTATTATACTAAGAAGTAAGAGTATAGATTATTTAAAAATATTCAATATTAAGTTCTTAGAACAAAAAAATGGTTTTGCTATAAACCATGTTTGCATGTAGTTTACCTCGTAACATTCGCAATAATTTTTTAGACAACCACTACGTTTGCAATTGCAACCCTTGTTGTGTCTCCTTATATCGTCACCAGTTTCACGACCTTTACCGATTTTCGGACGGAAAGCATTAGGGTTACGTTCTAGACAGGATTTAATAGCGCGTTGCCTTTCCTCTTCGTTTCCAAGATTATTCGAACAGTTGTTGCAATTACACATATGACAGAACTCGCCGTTTGCGAAACAATCGCAATATCTGTCATAAAGACATTTAGATTATAGAAATATATACTTCTGACATAAATTCTATTTAAATTAAAACAAATACATAACAGTTAACTATAATTTCATTAATGTTGAATATATTTTTGAATATTTCTGTAATTATAGCAGCACATACTCCAATTAAACTTGCCTAAGTTATAATAATTTGTTCATGAGAAACTACACGTATTTTAATGTATATTTTTATAAAGATACTTCAGTCATATTTCCTGAGTCAATGTCAGTCGTATTATGATGATAACAAAGGAAAGTGACAAACTTCAAAGCTTACTATAGGGCATCTGTTTACAAATGAATAATTGAATAATAAAATACTCGACCGAGAAATTTTTTTTATTATTAAAATACTGTTTGAAAAAATTATATAATTATAAAAAATTATATAACCTACTTGTGTATGTGTCAGAGAGAGGAGAAAGGAGAAAGGAGAGGAGAAAGAGAGAAGAGGAGAAAGAGAGAAGAGGAAAAAGAGAGGAGAGAATTAGAGATTTAGTTACAGTCGAATTTCCAATATTTTAACAAAATACTTACAGTTTAAGACACTGTGATTTGGTGCAATTGCATGGTTTTCTTGGCCTGATGCCGTTCGGTTCAACATTGCCGTGATTTCTTTGAGTATTCTTCCCTTCTATTACGCATAGAGTTGCCGTAGAACTTTGTGTATTTCCAATTAGATTTGATGTTGTTTGTTGTGGTTTCAATTTCGTATCATCCGTTGACTATTCCAAATAGTATCGTTTAAATACATAAATAAGAAGTTTTTACAAGATTTAATAGATAAATATTCTAGCAAATGAGAGAGAGAGAGAGAAAGAGCAAAAGAATAAAAGCGAGAGCGAGAGAGATAGGGAGAGAATAAAAGTTGATCTAAGACATGTTATCATTAAAACCGTTATAAAAGTTTAAAAATTTAATTTATTTTTTATACGATTACACGCACATATAGGATTCTTTTTAATATTATACAATGAACATTTGACGCGAAAAAGAAAACTAGTATGAAATCAATATTTTATTATATTATTATACTAAATTAAATGATGAAAAGCATAGGGCAATGAAAGAAAAAAAGAAATACGTTAACGAATTATACCTGTTGTTGAATGTATTGAGCGGGAAGAACAACGATATTCCCAACATTCGAATTGGCTGATATGACCGCTTGACCTGACGCTAATTGGCTTAGCGCTGATGCAGGAATTGCTACAGTGTTTTTTGGCTGATTACCGACAGTTGTCCCAGTAGCGGTTGCTGCAGGTATGAGAAGTCTTTGACTTCCACTTGTAAGTGTTGCCTTCGGTGCAACGGTCCTCAGAGATTGATTGCCAGTATTTAGTGGCACAACCTAAACGAAAATTATAAAAAGAATTATAAAGATATATAAAATACGATATTATAAATATATTATACATGTTTTAAATATCATAGTTTATCTCGTATTTCTATTATTTATTTACTTATAGTAATATAAATAAATAATATTTATTATTTATTTATAGTAATATACAAAACTATTTAAATACCACTAAAACTATATATATTTTTATATCGATTAAAAATCAATTTGTTCATATGACACGTTGCATTTACTATTTACTATATTATTTATTCACAGTGATATGTTAGTGAACTTTTATTATACCTTCACGATCTGTTGCTGATTGCCTATTTTCTGACTAATACCTACTGTTTGAAGTGTCGTGGCAGACTTTGACTTGCTTACAGTAACCACATTGGTGGATCCTGATGAAGGTGTACTGACTAATCTTACATATTGCACCTGAAAAGTAGGACAACATAGTATACAACGTTTACTCATTACGATTCAACTATAGATGAATTAAAAAGCAAAGTACTTGTCTGCCAGGCATTTGAATTTGATGAACTTGATTTGATCCAGTCACAATGTTCTGACTAGCAGGTATTCTAATGACTTGTCCACTTCCAAGTACAGTGCCGGGTTTCAAAGAACTCTGAAACGAAAACATAATTTTTGTTGTAAAATCAAATTTAATATTAAAAGTTTTATCAGAAAATAAGTATAATAAAATGTGTATAAGTAAGATTGTAAGATACTGATAATACTATGTACAGAAAGAGAAAAATATAAAAAAGAAAGTTGTTACATTTCTACTTTTTTGCAATTACGTTCAGTAATATTAATGTCAAAATTCGATTTTAAACTTTAATTATTTACAATCTGACTTACTTGTCTAATAATCACTTTCTGTGGATTTTGCTGGGTGGATGATTTGGATGAAATAATTGTCGACGGCTGATTCGTCGTCGTTGAAGATTTCGCCTGAATGCTCGCAGCTGGTGCCGGGAGAATTTTTGTTGGTGACTTTGTAGTACTGCTGGTAGGTACTATGGTTACTTTCGATGGTTGTGATGTCGAAGATTGTAGCAACTTGTTCAAAATCATACCCTTAAAAAAAATGTACAGTTGATCTATTAAAAAAAAATATATATATACTTTATATAAATATAATTGCACATATATTTTCAAACTCTTGACGAGCTTTTTTTGTGCGTGACAGTATGCATTTTAAAATTGTTTTAAATTTCCAAATTTTTCATTCATTTATATTTTTATATTTAACACTTGTCATTGTATGCGATTTACTTGTACTTTTGATATTTTAATAAATCATAATACTCAATATAAAAATTGGCAACACACCTGCTTCTGTGATGATGACGGCAAAATATGTTGCACTTTATTAGAAATTATACCAATTTGATGTGCTTGAGCTAGTGTTATAGTTTTTGTTGGGCTTGTATAATTAGAAGAACTATTATTGAGGAATTTAATTCCTTGGCTCTGTTGACTTTCACTTTGTGAACTCGTAATAAGAACCTGCTGAGCAGACTGCGTTTGACCTCCTGTCAGTATCATCTTTGTGTACACCTGTACAATTAAGAGACATTTAAATTTATAAAAGATAAAATATCATCCAGGAGCTTTGAGACATAAAATCTCGTTTAAACACAATTTGGGATTACAAAAACGGCAGTAATATCTTACGTACGTTGCGACCTTGCTGAATATTCTGTGTTGTTCGTTTTAATGTCGGCTGAGCGATCTTTACATTCTGCATATTACTAATTGTGATATTTCCCGAGGAGCTGGTTGTCGTGATAGACTTAGTGGGCTGTGTCGACCTCAACTGAACGACGTTCCCATCCGCGGGCTTTCCTGCTATGAGAGTTTGGGCTAGTGACTGTAGCTGTTCAGCAGATGCTGTCGGTGGATGTGATATCTTAAGAATCTGACTGGTGCCTTGTCCACTTGCAGGTGACACTATCATAATTGATTGACTTTGTGTAGTTTGACAGACATTCGGCTTAACCTGTGAAAGTAAATAATATTATGAATGAATAAAGCATCAGCGTGCTCAGCATCTATTGCAACTGTTGTAAAATTCATGACTCTGATTAATGTACAACTTTAATTTTGACTGAACTTAAAGAGAATATACTAATTAGATTCACAAAGTCTACAACAGTTATACAGCAACTTTCTCTGCTGAATACAGCTAGTCTTTTGATTAGTTGCAAATAGGATTAATAGTATTACTTGAACTGCAGATACAGGCACTCTCTGCAATGTAGGCTTGGTTTGAAATACGATATTCTGGCTGTTTTGATTGGCCATGGTATAAACATGTTCCTCTTGCACTTGCTCAGAAATATCAGTCATCTCTACTTCAGGTACTATGTTGTCAGTCTCAATGTTACCCTCGAGCACTATCCGGTCTTCATCTGTTGACATAACTTCCTCGGCATTCATACAATCAAGTTCTGCTTGAATATTTGCAAAGGCATCAAAGTCATTTGAAGTGTATTGCTCACTGTTGTTCGATAAGCTCAGTGCACTAAGGTCACTATCTCCCAGTGTACGTGAATCCAAGGCTACAGGCTCCACCAAAGCCCTTGCATTTTGCCCCTTATTCGTGGACATGATAATATCACCTGATTGATGAAACATCGATGTCATTGAAGATGAGAAGTCAAATTGTGTTTGTTAAAACAAGCTTACAATAACAAAAACTCATCTCCCAAGACACATCTTCAAGTAATATTACCAAAATATTTTAAATTACTACAAAGAATGATAGTATCAACAAATAAAGCTTAATGAAATTTCTACTATGCAAATATTGAGCTGATCAAAAAATGTATTATTGTGCAATAATGCAAACATAGAAGAATAGTCTAATGATTATATAGATATAATTAAGCTATAAATAAAAAAGTAATGTAAGTAATAATAAACAATAAAAAACTTATCCACTCTATTCGCACAGAATTTTGTTGATATTCACTTAAATGCTCAGAGTAATCAATGTCAATTGCAACATAAACATTACGATCGCGCACAAACACACGATCTATTAATGGTGTAACATCATTTACATTTTAATCGCTGCGATTCTACCGTTTCATCGCTGATGCAGCCCGCAATCGTCCTTTTTGAAACGGTGGAACTTGATTTTTCGCACTTGCACTTTCAAAAATCGCGAAACAGCTGTCGACTGTGCCTCCACAACACTCAAGTGAAGTTCGAAGCAAGCGAGAATTCGAATGCTGTACGACAGATTCGAATACGCCAAAAAAACGAGTTCAAAGCGCGAATCGTCCGTAGAACATCAGCGCCATTTATTGGCGGAACGCGCCATTTTTGTGAAGCGGATTTTTGAGCGTACCGTAGACGATTCGATTTTAAACGATTAGTTGCGCGAACTTACAGCGGAAGATTCATGATTAGAAACTCGGCAACGGACGGGTCATCGAGGAAACCGTCAAGCGTAGCGGCGCGCAGCTCGAATAACATGGAACATAACCTCAAAATGTTCGAATCGACAACGAAGTAGATGTCGTATCACCAAAATCAAAACCAGCAACCGGGGAGACTCCGTTTCTCTCCAAGCTCGGAGGCCCGGCTCCGGGAGGCAGGACGAACAAGATTCACGTTGGATATTTCACGTCCAAGACACGTACCTGCGCGTTCCTTCGATAGCTCGAATTGTTCAAAATCACGCGCCCACCATTGCTGGCCCAGAATGCACCGCGGACTTTTGCGTGCAAAACCCGCCGTAGAAAATGACCTCCTTACGCGATAAGGCGACTAAATCGATCAGTTAGATGCAGATATTAATGACAGCGAGCGACAACGAGACGTGAACTCGATTCGGAGCACTTTAAGAACCACAACATTTTTCGCGCTTACGCGGGCGAACTGGGTCGAAGATTGAATACCAAAACTAATTACAAGATGGCAAAGTCTCTTCTGCGTTGCCAATTGGATCTTATCCTAGCGCCACTTGAGGCGTGTGGACAGAATAGGAATGAGAAATTAGAAATGGCGGCACTTAGTCATTACGTCATTGGTTGCGTTCAGAAAACATAGTTGATCAGTGAGCGGTCAGTGATTATTGGTCCTTATGGCTACTACACACAAGACGCAGTAATGCTTGCCGCGCGGCGAAAGTCCGCGCGACAGCCAATCAATATGTTATTTTTTTCGTAAGAGCTAGAAGATTATTACGGAAAGCAGCATATTGATTGGCTGTTGCTCGAACTTCCGCCGCACGGCAAGCATTACCGCGTCCTGTGTGCAGGAGCCATTACACGCAGTACTGAAACACGTTTTAATGTTAAAAAATTATGTTTAAAGAAAAAGTTGTCCTTTGTAAAAGTCGTGTAATGAGTATAATATTGCAGAAAGTGAAAACTCTTTTAATGGGTTTCGGAACACATTGAATATCCAATAAGAGAGAGTCAAAGCTCCTGCCCATAGGAAGTGGCAACGTTTGCCGCGCGGCGGAAGTTTGTGCGATAACCAATCAATATGCTGCTTTAGGAGACTTCCTCAGCCACCTATGAATGTAGAAAATAGAATTTCTGCGGTTCAAGATGCTTTTGACATTGTTGTCCCTAGCGTATGGACCGATCCTTTGGACCTTTGTCTTCCGAATGATTATGTTAACGCTCCTTGCTATCCTCTCGCCCTTCGTTAGATTGGAGCTCCTTTTGTAGTTCTGTTTGCGAGTATAATAAATATATTATTAGACCATTTAGTTGGGATGAATTTTGCTGTGCTTTTAATCGAATTAAAAAACGTTCTGCTCATGGTCCGGATCTTGTGCCTAATCATATTTTACTTAGACTTCCTTTATCTACAAAAAAAATTTATTTTTGGTTTATTTAATAAAATGTTTAATCTCGGTTCCTATCCGTCTGCTTGGTCTGAATATTTTATGATATTTATTCCCAAGGCCAACTCTTCTGCGATGAGGCCTATTTCCATGTCTAATAGCCTTCTAAAGATCTTTGAGCGTTTAATTCACCATAGACTTTATTGGTGGCTGGAAAATAATTGCTTTTTTGCTGAAAGACAATTTGGTTTTCGTAAGTCGAGATCTACAACGGATTGTCTTTTCTTGCTTTCCGCGGATATTCAGCGGGGCTTTTTTAGAAATGCTTTTACTGGTGTGGTATTTATTGATCTGCGGGGTGCTTTTGACAACGTTCTCCCACGTCTTCTTTTGTGCATCTTGAGACAACTGCACTTACCTAATAAATTCCTAAAATTTTTAGATTTTCTGCTCAGTTTCAGATCTGTCGAGGGCTTTATGGGTGGCACTTCTTTGGGTACTAGACGAACCTCTCGAGGACTTTCTCAGGGTTCGGTTCTCAGCCCTATACTCTTCAACATATATACCTCGTTCATCTTTAACTCTCTTCCAGAAAACGTATATTATCTCGCCTATGCCGATGACATCTGTTTATACACTACTAGCCAATCGGTCGCCGTGGTTTATAGTTTTATCAATAAGGCTTTGCGAATATTTAAGGATAATATTTTAGTGCTTGGATTGGAAATATCATGTGTTAAGTCAGTTTTTTGTTTATTTTCTAAGGATAAGTTTAAAAAAACGAATAACTTTATAAATAAATAACATCTTAAGATTAAGCTGGATAGTGAAATCACTTCTAAAGTCGATTCGGTCAAATTTTTGGGACTATTCTTTGATAGAGGTTTGAGCTGGAGGATTCACTGTTTAGAACTCCGTAAAAGAATCCGTACCGGGATTTCTGTTATCAAATCTATAGCAGGTCTTAAGTGGGGTGCTCACCCTATTAATCTTCTTAATATCTACAAGGGCTGGATACGTTCTGCCCTTGAATATGGTTCTCAGGCATTTGCCAGTATAAATCCTAGAATCAGTATTATC